AGAATGATCACCACCTCCATCTGACTCCCACCCTCACACAGCTTGCAGCTCATGGCTTTTCTCAAGCACAGACAGGGCATTCTGAAGGCAAATGACCTCCCTGGGTGGCAGGAAAGAGAAGATCCTAACACTCTGCTGAATCAAAGAAAAAAAAGAGAGGGCCTCCTTTGTTTCAGACAAGTTGGACAATGTTTATGTCGTGTCCAGAGCACTCCAAACTTTCCTAAAGTTTTGATGGAAAGGTCCCTAAGGGCTGAAACGGCAGGAAGCAAACACCCCTGGTGGAGAATGGCCTGCATCATTGTGAAAACATATCATTATTTCATGGAACAAGGTCTTGTCTGCAGTTTACCAGCAGGGCCTGAAAGATGTCACCTTTTCTCAGTAAGAGATCACTAAGTTAAAGTTGTATGTGTGTGTGTTTAATTTCTATGGGTTCAATATTTTCCTTCTGAACAGTCTCAAGGTGAAGCAAGAGATTTAAAATAGTGCATAATATATTCTTAGTGTTGGTTAAGATGTTAGTCACATAATATTCTTGGATTTGTACTTCCAGAGCATCTTCCACCCAAGAATTTCCATATCCTTTCCAAAGCTAATATTTTTCTGATGAGTTCAAATAAAATGGAAAAGTCCAAAGATATTAAGTCTGTGCCCTTTAAAAACTCCTTTCCAACTCTAACTTTCTTTCATAGATAGCTGTTGGACAAGTCACTTTCCCTCTCTGAATCCAGCCTCATCATTCATGAAAATGGGAGGTCAGGCACCTTCTAGCTTTTTTCCCCCACAAGATATTTTATTTTTATTTTTTAAAATATATTTGTATTGATTTCAGAGAGGAAGGGAGAGGGGGAGATAGAAACATCAATGATGAGAGAGAATCATTGTCTGACTGCCTCCTGCACGCCCCACACTGCAGATCAAGCCAGCAATCCCAGCAAGTGCCCTGACTGGGAATCAAACCATGACCTCCTGGTTCATAGGTTGATGCTCAACCACTGAGCCATTCCGGCCAGGCACCTTCCAGCTTTAACAGTCTAATTTTGTTGGAAAATATGTGGCACAGCTAATACACCATTCTTCTTCAAAAGAGGCCTAAGCTGTTTAATTACAGCAGATCTTGGTTGACATCTGTGGTTTTGACTACTCCCAGAGACCCCAAACGTCCATGAACTTCAGTAATCTGTTATGTTGCAGCGGCGTGCCATGAGCCTGGGCTAGTCACGTGTTTAGTGAGTGAGATCAACGTGCTGGCAGAACCCACAACCCTGTGAGGTTTTGCTATTGTCAGCTCAAAGGCCACGATTCTCATCGTGTACAGCAGCGGTAGTCAAAAAGGTAGGGATTCTTCTCAATAGTATCCCTCTCAAATGTCAAGAGTTTATTGTAATGTGGGTTTAAAGTAATCATGTACCCACCCCCATGTCACCTACTTCATTACTATCCCTATGGTTACTCTGAAAACTTTAGTGGTGTCATGCATACAACAAGGGTATTTTATTCCTCTTTTATTGAACTTATCTCACGCATACGCCTCTCCCAACCTGTCTGAATACCTGTATCCTCTCCACCTGAGAGGAAGATCCTTGCGAGCTGGGATGCCAGCTTGTCTTTATTATCTCCGGAGTCCCTAGCAATGTACCTGGCACACGGCAGAATTTAATGAACATCTATTGCATGTCTGAGCACCTTCTACGAGCAAGCTTTGTGCATTTTCTTCATATTTGAATGTAGTACTTATCACACACCTGCAGGTTAGATACCATGATTCCTGTCATCCCAACAAACTATCTGGGACTCAGACAGGTGAAGAGACGTGTTCAAAGTTACACAGCTGGTGATTGATGGATTCCCACTGTCTGTCAAGCTCCAAAGTTCATGTTTTTCCATCTCACCGTCTTTGAAGAAGGAAAGCATAAAGCCAAATAAGTGAATTCACAGATCCAATGTTATTGATAGAGCACAAGCCCAGCTTTACCTGAATAGATTTAGAGGAGTGTGGTGGGGGCAAAACTGACAACGCTACCGGGCTAACAGAGCTACATAAAGAGGGAAGGATGAGAAAGTGCCACTATTGCAGGCATCGCACAGCTTCTGTCTAAGTAAACTGAGGGTTTAAACTCTAAGTTGGGACCAATGGCATCAGGAGGTTGTTAGAAATGCAGCATCTCGAGCCCTACTCTAGACATTTTGAAACTGAATCTGCATTTTAGCAAGATCTGTGGGTGGTTCATCAGCACATTAAAATCCAAGGAACACCCCTCTCAAGATATTCTATGGTCCTTTCTGGCTCTAATACTTTAATATTTTAAGAGTTTAGACTAGGAATCTTCATGACAGCCCCAAACTAGCATGCTTATTAATGTGGGTCACACAGAGATACAAGCAACCTATCACCTCCATGGTGTCTTCTGAAGAATACTGTTCATTCATCAATATTACTATCAATGGCCTCATTCACTGATCACGTACCATGTACAGGAACAGTGCATACAATATCTTGAATCATCGTAACAGTCCTGCAAGAAACATTACTACCCCCTTATTACCAATGACAAAATAATCTCATAAACTAATAAAATTCCCCAAAACTAGGTGGTTAAATCTATAGTTGAGACAACACCCTAACCCAGAGTATTTAGAGTCCGTGGTTTTTCTGCTACATTAAACTGCCTCCAGTAAAATTTAAAGTATCAAGCAGAGGGGTGCAATGTGAGGAGAGACTAGCAGGTTGTGGACTCCGTCTTCTGCAATGAAGAAGACCAAAGGGGTAGTCTAAGTCTACTAAGGTCTAAAAAATAATGCACAGGAATAGATGGGAACATAGACTTGTTCACCAAATCCTAGAATACCTGGACCAGAATCTCAAATGTGTGGAGGTTGAGATACATTTAGCACCAATGTCACCTAGAAGTGATCATCCATGAAGCATAGTTACATTTAATCTGAAAACACAGATAGCAAAGTTTAGCCTATTCAGAGATCCTAGGTGCACAGTTGATTATTAATGGGACAAAGGAATTTGGAGCCAAGCCTCTGCTCTCTCAAAAACTACCCTTCAGTGCCGCTGGTGGATAGGTACTGAACTAAAGGAACCACAAGTCTGTCAAATTATGGCCAATGCTGTGGTCTTGATGTGATTTAATGCCTGACAGTAACCTCTTATATACTGACATTGCCATAAACGTGTATGAAATCTCACGGAGTTGTCTTCCCAGCGAGGGCCTGTCCTTCATTTGTATGTATAAACACTCTCCCCAGAGCACATATAAATGGATCGCATTCTCCGGATGGCACATGTTTTTACTTACGCTAACAAATGACTATCCTTCCCAGCAAAATGACTAAATAGAGCGCTAATAAATCAATTTGTCAGTGGCTATTTCACTTCAGGAAACAATCTCCCCTGTCCCATCCTTGGCTGGTGCAGATATGACCTACATTGAGTGGCCTATGTCAATGGTACAGAAAATCCTAGAGCTGGGAGGCCCTGCAAAAGGATCTGACCCTGCCACCCTGCAAGAAAAGTGTTGTTATTCCCACTTTACAGATGAAACTATTTAGTTCTAGAGCTAAGACTAAACAACTTGCCCAAAGTCACATTATTAGGAAGAATTTGAAAGGACAAGAGCAGAGTCTCCTGAATGACACTCAGCTCTGTTGTCAGCAGAACCCAACCTCTTTTAAGCTCTGTCCCAAGGCTGGACCTGGGGAGAAGCTCATCTATGGCATCTCTCCTTCGGATCTATGGATCCCCTTTTCCATGAGTTCCTCTGGAAGTTTATGTTTTCATCTCCCACTGAAAATGTTTTCAGCAGGTTCTTGGAGCAGTTTGATATCCCTCTCCCCTCTCCCCTCCCCGCCCCCCGCCCCGCTTCTATATTCCCCCTTTGTTCTTCACACCTTCTCCTGCCACTGCTTATCGTTTGTGGACACCACAGGAATTCGGAGACAAGGTTCTCCTTTCTCATCCCCATCCTTCTTGGCCCCCCTGGAAAGTCTACCCTCCCATAAGCTGCAAATCCTGGGGAAAGTCCTTCTGTGTTCTTCTTCACAGCCATCTATCTGAAAGAGGACAGAGGACCCAGCATAAGAAAGTTCAATGGGGAGAGTTACAGAGGCAATAGAAGTGTAATACCCACTGTGTGAGAAGGACTAAATGGGGCCATAACCTGGAAACTATTTCAGGAGAATTCCAGGCTGTGAAAAGAGATGACCACACAGAAGATGTGTTTTCTCCAACAATTCTTAAAAGGCTTCTCCTTCACTGCTTAGACAGAATTTGGAGCTTAGATCTGTGACTAAAGACAGTGGCTGCCGCCCTGGGAGCTCTGCTCCTCCAACTTACATCCAGTACCAAGCCATACTGACTCATCTCACCTAGACTAGGCAAGCCTCATAGAAGAGCCTACAAGCATTTAAACAGATTGCCAAGTTTCAATCAACTTTGCAATTTCCAAATTGAAGGAGAGGCACCTGAAATCTGGTTGTACAATACAACTACAATATGGCACTGGGGAAAAAACCAAAACACCCAATGCCACTTGCTTTCTTGAGGATGTCCTGATTGGACTATCACTGTCTCAGAGTGGAAAGGATTGGCTTCAAAGCTCATAGAAGCTCTTGGCACAAGGAGAGGAGGAAGGAGACACCCGAGTAGTCTCCTAGCTCTCGCTTAATCACAAGAATTCTCCAAAACCTGATATCAGAACTTCTGTCACCCCACACCTCCACCAGCCATCATGCTGTGTTTCAGTAGACAAAATCTGTGTCCTTAGATCCTGCCTCAGGATTCCTTGCCTAGAAACATTTTAAAGTGAGAAAACTGAAGGAGAGTTTGGAAGCAGAAACTGCCAGTAGTGTCTGCTGATCCTGCATACCTGTGATGGAACCAAAGTTTGATGTTAACACAAATCCAAGAAAAATTTTAAAAAGTGATGCAGAAGGATAGAAGGATATGGCAAGGGGTAGCAGGGGATAGAATACTGAAAGTTACTTACACAGTTTCATTATTCTTGAACTCCAACTCCCCATATATGTCTTCAAAATCTTCACCACCACCCCTGGCTGTCCCTTCCACTGTCCTAAAGGGAACGATGACTGTGCCCTTGGCACCAGATGTCCGCAGAACCTTGACCTCCATGACACCAATACTCTCACTGATACGAATAGTGTCACATTCAAAAGTGAAGATGCCTGCATGGTCATCATCCAAGATAGTAACTTTGGCCACACAAGGGGACACCAGGACAGCCCTGGAAGGCAAGGGAACACTATTCTGTATTGTTGGAGCCATCCCTTCCTCTGGCTGCTCATTCTCTATGCGGACATTGCTCAACCTCACAAAGAAGTATTCGTCCTCCTCAAAAATGTCATCATCAATGATGCCCACAGAGAACTCCTTCTGGGTCTCTCCTGGCTTCAGAACCAGGGTGCCCTCTGTGAACTCATAGTCAGCCCCTGCATTGGCAGAACCATCCTCTGTTTTGTAGTCCACATACATGGTTTTGGATGTGTCCCCCCCTTTCCTCACCACTGTCAGGAGTATAGCCCCACAGTTCTCCAGGCACTGGTAAGAGCATGGATCAAAGAAGACCTTGGAGACAAAGTCCTCAGGCTGATCGGCGTGCACCTCACTAATAGCAGCGGATTTCTTGGCTTGTTCTGCAGCATGTTTCCTCAGGATATTGCCTGCACCAATCATCATACGGATGGCTTGAATCCGGTAGAAGGCGCGGCTCTTCTGTTGATGGGAAAGAGCATAGTAATTGGCCATCTCTACCAGCTGATCTAACTCCTTCTCTGGATGTTTTTGCTTCAGATCCTTGAGAATCCGGATCATCTCCCTGCGGGACTCATCCACTTCCTTCCCTTCTGGTGGCACCAGATTCCCATCTAGAAAGTGGGAATCATCA